CCACTTGTAGAGGTGTGCTTAAGAGTGTTAGTGTGTGTTAATTATGTAGATTTAGAACTAGATCCTTTTTTGTAACACCTTTTCATAATTGAATGCACCTTTTAAACACCCAAATCACCGTGTTCTTTAATTCCGCATGCCAAATCAATGCTTATAATTTACATCATAAGTTCAAACCGTTTCAATGTATGGTTAAGAGAAAGGCTTGTTATGGGATCGTTCCATGTATTACACCTAAGGATTCCATTTGTTTCTACTGCCAATTGAAGGGACACTGGTTGCGAAGCTGCCCAAAGTATCTGAAGGATCTCAAAGATGGTAAAGTCAATTTGTATAACTATACTTCTAGTACATCCATTATCTAACTCGATGGTTTTATAAGTTCCTATTCTTAGTCTCTTAATAAATAATGTGATGATCACATTTTGATGGTATTCAAGGATCTAAAAGGAATACGGAAGCTTAAGTGAAGTGAGCAAAATCTAATCGTGGGAAATGGACTTCGGTCAGATGGTTCGGTGGTCAGAATTTGGAGCTACTGTTAGTGAGTTAGGATAATTTAATAGATTCCTATTACTCTTCAGAAATGTCTAGAAATACATTTTTTTTTTCATTTTATGCATTGTAAGGACAAGTTCAAAGTTTCTTTTTGGCAATAAAATGAAGTTTTGGTTTACGTAGTTGCTTTATCTTATTTCCTTGCAATGGCATTATTGAAAGTGTACGTTATGTTTCTAATAATAGCAATATTAATTATGGATTTGATTCTTATGATATCTCTTGTGGTAATATCATAATTAACCAAGTGAAAGGAAATCTCATCACCAACTAGACTGGTAATTGGAATTGTACAATTCGAATTGTATTATATATGAGATTCTTGTTCATTGGATAATTAGGACTTAAATCATTGTTCACATGCTTATGTGAGACAAGTAAAGGACTAATGGATGTAGTACATGTTGATATGCACTCTTCAGATCCACCACAAGGGATGATAACTATATTCTTCAAGATTTATTGATGTTTTAATAAATATGGTTTTGTTTATAAGATTAAATAGAATTATAATACCTTTGGAAAGTTCAAAGAGCAGCTGAAAGAATAGAAGAATCTATCAGGCAGAAAGATAAAAGATTCTCCAATCTAAAAACAAACGATCTTAGCCGATGAGAAACGACATCAGTTCACCGGTTGTAACCGGAGGTCATGGGTCACGCCTTTTACTTTCTTGATCGTTCCACCGTCTTCCTTTTATCTGTACTCCAAACTCCATCGTCTTACTTTCTTGATCCTTCCACCCTCTTTGTTCCTGTTTTCGATTACACTATCGTAAAAGAAGGAAAGGGGTTCTCAATTCCCCTACGTTTTTGTGTGGCCACGTGAACAAAAGAAGATGAGGGCGGTTCTCGATGGCGGTGTTGCTGCCACAATCGTATGTTTTTTTTGTACTTTTCTTCTACTGATTTTTTTATGTTTGTTTGATTTGTTCCCACCATTGGCTCCAAATGGACTATGATTGATGTTTAGAGACTAATTTTTGATGTTTCATGGAAACATACTTTTTTGGGACCATCGAGAACCAGAAATAGCTGGAGTAGAGCTTCAATTTTCATCATTCTGAAGGACGATTCTTTTTTCTCTGTTGACTTCTTTCGGAATAAATTTTGGTTTATGCTTAATATACATCACTCTAAACTCTATAACGAGGAAACAAACAATTAATGATGAAACTTATGCACCACAGATAGATGCTAAAGGAAAATATGATCAAAGAAGTGATTTCAACTTGGAAAGGTTACTTCCTTCTACCAAGAAATTATTTATTTTAAAAAACCAAGAAATAAAATATACTAAAAGCTTATCAAAACTTGAATAAGATTATAATATAAAAACATGTTTAAAAAAAGTATATACGTGTCATACAGATTACAAAAATAAAAATGGGTTAAATACAATTTTTTTTTCTTTTACAAAAATAAAAATGGTTCGGTTAGCTACATGAGAGGCTGAATACATTTCAGTAACATGAATTTTGGTATATATTTGGACAACCATATAACAAGTAAGGATAATCATATGAAATTTCCTCTTTACAATTATGTAAAGATCATCCCTTTCTATTTTATGTGTGTTGCTTACTTTAAAATAATTGTAAATCATGACTAACCATAGACCAAAGTACCACCACCAGAAGAAAGGTAAATTTCTACTATTTCAAAGTATTAGTTTCTTAGTCACAAAATATTAACACTAATGATATTTGTTTATACACTTCAGGTACTTGAACAAGATAAAACAAAAAGAGGGCATCACCTTCATTCGTTATGAGGTAAATGAAAAAATATAATTTTTTTTTGAAATATATGAATCCACCTCCAGTTTTTCCTTTAAGGCACAACATTCAGACACAAATAAAATTATAAAAAAACATTACAAAAAAACATCCATGACAATATTTGTTTTTCATTTAAGGCACAACATTTAGAAGTAACTCTTTTTTCTCTTTAAAAAAACAAAGTTCTTAAATTTTTATTGTATACAACGAGCACAATCATGATTTTTTTTCATTTTTAATTTTATAAAAATTGCAGAATTTTTTGTTTTCCAAAATTTGGAAATTTTAATTTTAAGAAATATTAGTTTTTATAAAATATAATTGATTTTTTTATCCAAATTCAGAAAAGCAAAAGATATATAGAGTTCTTCATAACGTTGTTTTGTTGAGTTTTTAAAAGAAAATTGATGAAACAAGAAATCGAGTATGTAATGAATCAGAGTAACAAATGATCAAAAGTAATATTGCGAGATTTGAACACCGATGTAAATATGATTTCTGGTTCAGCTCTATTACGCTCATATGGTTTTACAGAGTACAAGATATAATTCTGATCAAAAGACCTCTATCTAACTCTAGTAAACACTCCTATTTATAGAAGAGAAAAGTGTACAAAAAATATACTAAGGACTAAACATTAAGCTTCGAATACAATGCCTTAGTTAAATATATTATAATCCATACGAAGAGTACAAAAGACTTCGACTCATTACAATCCCAAAATACCCTTACAATCTCCCCCTTTGTAATTAGAGTTGAAGACATCATCTTAAGCTCCTTCTTGTCTTCCTCATTATTCTTCCTGTGATGATTCTTACGAACAATTAAGTTCGTATATTGCGAAATCGAATATCTTCCTACTTTACTAGCTTGAAACAAATATTTCTTCGATCTACCAGACTTATCCTTCCCAGAAAAGACTAAACGAAAAGGTTTCAAGCAGATTTCCCCATTAGCATATCTTTTAAGTTCTGCTTAAGTCTTCGAAGGATTCATGGGAGCACTTATTTCACGACCCTTTGCTGAAGCCAACTCCACATCTTTCATTGCCATACATTCATAATAATTTTCAATGAAGATTTTGATGTGAGTAACTCCCAGCTTAAACTTATCCGACTCAGTGTTTTGCAAATAAGAAAATGACCTTTCCTTCAGAATTAATGCAACTTTTATAAAATCATACAAATTCATCAATGGAAAGTCAGCAATTGTGAATTCATGTGCACTTCCATTTGCTCTCACCACTGTATATTTCAAATTTTGGATTGTGTCTTCGAAGACCACATCCTTCTTTATACTTATCACTTTCTTGATCTTTGTTAATGACCACACCTCCTCAGTAGGCTTCGCAAGAACAACATGAAATCTGATCTTCATGTGTCTTCCTTCTTCCTTCTCTTTGAATTTACTTTCAACTTTGAATTGTGGCATGATAAACATCATTTCGTTTATAGGGAAATCCAGCTAACCTGCATTTGTATTCGTGACAAGATAGCTTTGCTTGGGCTTTTTATCAAATGCGTACATGTGATTGAATGTAACTTTGGGTTCAATCATTTCACAATTGTAATTCTTCGAAGGATCACCTTTGCTCAAGCCAGGAGGGTCACTGGCCCTTTGAGTCGTGATACTTTGGATCATTCTCATTTTTTCAACCTCAGCCTCTACCTCTGCTTTCTTTTCCTCCTTTGATTTTTCAATTAAAAATTCTTTACCTTTTGATTTTGATCCAGACACAACATCATCAACTTTTGGCTTTGAAGCACTTCCTCCAATGTCAGCAGATTTACCAATCACTATTCCTTTCGGTTTAGTAGTTGGTACAGTTGTTACAACTGTCGAGGTGATTGGACCAGTTGTTGCCATTAATGGTTCTGTTGTTGGGATTTTTGAAGAGAATACCTTCCCTACCACTTTCGAATCTCCTCCTTCAGTCTTCGATCCTACAAAAAAAAATTTCTCCCGCTTTCACCCGTGTGCTAGTAGGTGGGGCATAAGTAGATGGAAGAAGACTGGAGATGCGTGACAAAGGAGCTAGTTGTTGGATAAGTAACTCTTCAAACATAGAAAATTTCTGGATCAGATTTTCTGAAGATAACATAGACGCAGTAGACTTGGAAGATAGACTTTTAAGCTCTTTTAAAAGTTTGAACACCTCCACGATTTTTTTGTTGTCATTGGTTGAAAGCTGAGATATCTAAGGGCTCAGACTTTCGTATAGCTTTGCAAACTTCGTTACTGCCTCACAAATAATGTCCACCTTCTTGTTGAAGGAATCAAACTCCGTTCGAACAACATAAATTTCTTTCTCCATATCTTCTCGTAACTCCTGAATTTTGAAATTTACATCTTCTCTCACCTTCTTTACATCCTGGATAAACATCACATGCCTCTCTTTTGCATCTGCCTTCAAATCTTTCAAGTCAGATGCAAATCCAGACTTCTGAGAATTCACTCTTAATTCATTATTTTGGTCAGAATGATCTATCTTCTCCAATAAGCTAGACTTTGAATCTTTCAGCATTCCAGAGACTTTTGTGGTTAATCTCCTTTCAAGTAATGTCAGCATGCCATCAACTTCAAGGCTATATACAGAATGACCTCCCCCAAGATCAGCTTGAGATTGAATAATATAGTTAAGCTTCGTATTTAAGATTTTAAATTATTTCATCGTCATGAGCATATGATCCGGGAAGTCAGTTTCCTCCTCATCAAATTCCAGATTCTCAAAAGTTCCCCCAAAACCTTCAGATTCATTTTCAGTATCCATGAATGAATATTTTATTGGAGAAGTAGTGGTTTGTGGATGAGTTGATTGTGAAGGAAAAAGAGTGTTAAAAGGTTGTGAAATAATGTTTGCAAAAGTGGAGAATTTGTTGTGGATGTTGTATCTGTGAAGGTAAAGAAATGAATGAATCTGAAACCACATTCGAAGGGTTACCTTTTGTTGCTTTATTCGAATCATCCTCACCCATGATGACATTTGTATCCATATCAGATATGTTTACAGGGATGTCTGAAATTCGAGCCTCCACAGTAACTGTCTTGGCAAACAAAACTTTGGGTGGTGTAATAAAAAATGTAACCACGTGAGAAGAATATTTAAGCAAATCTACCTCAGGTGTCTCAGAAATAGTTTCACCCTCATCTGCAGTAGATTCTGAGGTAAGAATCACTCTTCGCTTTTTCTTCTTGGAGAGTTGTTTTGCCATATCAGCAGCCAATCACTTTTTCGAAGAAGGAGAAGCAGGGGCAGGTATTTCTCTAAAAATCACCCCTTGATGAGAAACTTGGGGTTTACGAACAACTTTTGTACTAGATGATCGATGCTTGTTCTTCGACTTCATCTTGATTCATCTCAATACACTAGTCTTCGAAGGAACGACTTCTTTTTCAGTTTCCTGGGTATCAGGAATAATAGGCTCCGACTGAAGTGGCTCAGGTTCGATCATAGGAACCTGCTTCATACTCTTTGATGTCATAACCTTTGTACCCGGAAACCCAGCATCAATCTTCTTCGCCTTCTTCGACTTCTTTTTAGTTTTCTATTGTAAGAGAATCCCAGTTTCCACAGAAGTATCTATGGATTCTAAGTAAGAAACCACGACTGGGTTTGAAGGATCAATCCTTTTTAACATGGCGTCAGGGATACGAGCAGCAAACAGAAATACATCTAAATCATCCACTGCATCCTTCGGACAACTATAAGTGTGAAACACAACTTTCTCCTCTTCCACTGGAACTAAAATACCTTCATTTTCATAGATATGCTACAAAATTAGACTCCAATATCGAGCACACGAAATGCCATGAATATCATTCGTGTTTTCGATACTTTTCTGAAACTCCTTCCACAGTTGTGTTGAGTAATCAACCTGAAGATCATTGTACAGACCAACAACCATGGCGTACACCTCCATTCTTCCCTTATCGAGCCCGACCGTTCTACCAGTTAAACACCGAAGAAATATACCAAATAGAAAATTCCATACACTTGGTAACCCTGACTTCTTGAAGTCACTAATCTTTGTCAATTGGGGTTGATGACCCATTTCATTGAACATGTCTACAATTTGTGGAAAGGTAAAAGTAAAATATGGTGGTGAATTCGGTATAAAAAGGACATCGGATGAAGACAGACGAAAATGGACATCGGATGAAGAAGTTATGAGATTTTAACGGACCAATCCTGTCCCGACCTATTAAAAATATAACTTTAAAAATAAAGTCAAAATTAACCGACAGAGTCTAAACGAAAGTTGTAGAGTATGTCTCCATGTACGCGTGGATATAAAGAACCTAAAAAATGGAGTTCGTAAGAACGAGTTATAAATTATAATAGCATATTTACTTATTAAAATAAAATATAAATCATATATACGTACACATATATATACATATGTACATATCATTAGAAAGGTATCGACGATGCGGTCATTATAAGACTAATGTTGAGTTCTTTCGACATTAGTGTAGTACAAATATCATTAAACCCATTTAAAATAGCATTATAGAGGGGTGTTTAGTTGTTTATATAACTAAAATGTCATTAAGTAATTATGGAGGGTAGTTTTTGAAAATTCAATTAGTATAAATAAGAGTCTTGGGCTCTCATATTTCTTGCACCATTCTCTTGATTCAAGAGTCTTTCTCTTCTTATCCCCCGAGCATTTCGGTCCCTCTTGATTCGACTTTTCTTTCTGTAGTTTTAGTATAGTAAGGTGAGTGCTGAAGCGCTGCACGAATCTTTCTTAGACTGATTCTGTGTCGAAGTTCTGCCCCTGCAGAGCCCGACTCCTAGCTAAAATCCCGTTGTAAGTAAGTTATGCTTACCCTATTTTAATATAGCTTATATTTAAAATTAATATTGTTATTATGAACTTATAATAAATATTTGAGCTATTATTATGACTTATATAAGTGTCGTTATAATATCTTTTAACTACTCGCGGTACGGGGAATCTGGTTTAAAGGGCCGCATAGGGTTGTTGGATTTCAGAAGTCCTATATGCCAAAATGGTCATGCCCTCCGGTGTTTTATGTCTGGCCCTTGTCTGTACATAGTGGTTGGAAAGTATTGTTTAAACGCTTATATTATAATAATAATAATAATAATAATAATAATAATAATAATAATAATAATAATAATAATAATAAGACTAATAATTAGTCACGGTAAATATTAGACTAAAATCTAGTGGTAATAATACTAGGTTTCGTTGAAGGAAATTATTTTAAAGTGAACGAAGCGTTGTCCGAGTACCGAGTCACCACCTTCTCAGGTGAGTGCATAGTTACTTTCATCTTACACATAGATATGAAGTATTTTATATAAATTACATGCTATGTGTGCATATTATCTGAATACTTGTTGTCTATGCTGGATGAACGATTTTATACATGTTTTAAATGATTTAAACTCTATATGTATTTTATATCTACGATAATGTTGGGCTAAAATATGGGTAGATGTAATAGATGGAATATAAGTTTGATGACGAGTTGAGAGTTGTTATAGACCACGAGATGAGGGTGAGAGGTTGATGATGTGAGAAGCCTTTTCCCAAATGAGTGGCCGCGTCATTCAGCAGAGTATGGATGACAACCACAAATTATTCTAGACAGTCCAGTGGAACACTAGCAGGCTCGCAACCTGTAGGTGTTTTGAACGATGTGTTCACCCGGTGTACTCTAAAACTTGGCGAGCATGTAGACTTGGTGCCTAAACCATGCGATCAAGCAGACTTGATGCCTAAACCCTAGCGACTATGTAGACTTAGTGCTCGTTGTGTAAACCTTGGCGATCATGCAGACTTGATGCCTAACCCCTAGCGACTATGCAGACTTAGTTCCTGTTTTGTAAACCGTGGCAACGATGGACTTCGTGTCGATTCCTTAGGATGATCCTTAGGAATAAATGAATGAGGAATAGCTGATTCTTAGGGTAGATCCTTAAGAATAAATAAGATAACGGGGATGGGTAATTGGGTTGATTGCTTAATTGTTTAAACATAATAATTATATTATTGTGGGTTGGAAACCCTATGTACTCACCAGGTTTTCCAACCTAATCCACTCAGTTTATTTATAACACAGGTGTTGTTATGAAGTCATATTACACTGAGAGATTAAGGAGATATAAATCACTAGTGATAATGAATGTATGTTCTGTTTATGCTTATGTTTATGTATTGACGATGACATTCCAAATGTTTTAAAATGAATAAAAATACTTTTGCTTCGGAAATGCTTTGATAATGTATTTATCATGTTTTACTGGGAACAAATTCCGCAACATTTTTATTAAAAGAGGCACTCTGATTTTCATAAAGCATAAACAAAATCGGTCTTTTATGGACGTGAAAATGGGGATGTCACAGTTGGTATCAGAGCATTAGTTTAAGCGAACTTGGAATATGGAGTTATTTCTAGACTTAAACTTAGAATGCTAAGTGATGATTGTGAGGTGTGAGCACTAGATTATCTTAGGGATTGTGCCTAGAATGCTTTTATGTGCTGAATGCTTTGTGCATGATATGCTGTTATTTGTTCGAATCTATGGTCTATTACCAACCGGATCTGGAAACCTTATGTGTTTAGGATTCTAAGCGTTTAACTACGACATTAGAACTAGCATATAAACGTTTTGGAGTGATAAGGACGATTTAAACATCAATCCTAAATAAAGATCTAGATTCACCTTATTCGGTATATAGATCAAGATGGCGAGGACCTGTAGCGGAAACGTGAATGAAAATGGGAACCGAAACCAACCCCCAGTGATTGAGCAAATATCAGTTGTGGTAGTCGCTGCTGAGCCAATACCAATGGCCGAAGTGCAAGCGATGATCCAGGCAATGTTGGATCATCGAATGGAGGAAACCAGATATTTGCTCCAACAAAATCGAGAGATAGAGACCATACAGATCGAACAACCCTAGTTGAACGAAGGGCAGACTGAGGAAGGAAACTACAGTGGGACTGTTGGCCAATCCAACCCACCAATAGTTAGGCAAAACCACCGGGATGGAGGAAATGACGGATGTGGATGCAAATACAAGGATTTCATGGCATCCAAACCACCGAGTCTATCCGGAAGCCCGATGCCGGTAGAAGTTATGAACTCGATCTTTGAGATGAAGACGATGTTCGAGAGTTGTGAGTGTAGCAACAGGGGAAAGACCGCTCTCGCGGTTCCTCTATTGAAATATGGAGTACTAAGCTGGTGGAAGCTACTAGCCGATTCGATGCCCAAAGGAGAAGCGAGCAAGATGTCATGGGAAGATTTGCTGGTGCAATTAAAGATGCAATACTGCTCTAAGCAGGATCTTCTGGAGATCAATAATGAGTTCCAGAATCTACAGAAGGGAAGGATGAGTGTCATCGAGTACGCTGCAAGTTTTACGGAGAAAACGAAGCTTGTTCCTTACCTAGTTCCAACTGAGCTCTCCAAGGTCAACAAGTTTGCCCATGGATTACCAGCAGACTTTGGACTAATGGTCAAGCAAGCAACCACTTTGAAAGGAGCCATCTGGGCAGCCAGGAATGTTGAAACCCAGATTAGGGAAAAGTGTCTAGAGAGAGCGGAAGTTGGCAAGAAAAGGAATCATGAAGGATCTTCAAAATCCAACAAAGTAAGGAAATTCTCAAAGACTGAAGGAGGAAGAGGAGGTGAAACCAAGTGGTGCGAGAAGTGTAAAAAGAAGCACTTCGGGAAATGTAGCGAGGAGGTGACTTGCTACAAATGTGGAAAGACAGGGCATTACGCCAACAAGTGTGCGTCCAACAAGAAGGTGTGTTATGGATGTAACAAAGAAGGTCATATTTCTAGGGACCGCCCAAAGAAAAACGAGGCAGCAAGGCTAAACACGCCACCAAGGCCAAGGGCATTCCACATGATCCTCGACGAAGCATAAAACAATGCAAGGAACCAAGGATGAGGAATTCATACCCGAAGATCAAGCTATGAGGTAGCCAAAGAGATATAACCATATAATGTAGCGTATTAGAGGCATAGTCTAGGGTGAACTTGAAAACCTATGTAATAGTTTCAAGAAATAATAAAGCCTTCGTTTTGTTATTTGATGTGTTAAACTGTTATGTAATTTTCCTATATGGTGACTTGGGGACTGCGAGACAATACTTGGGATGAGTATGAGTAGGTGTGAAAGGTAGTAGATGCATATACTACCTGAAGCACATGACTCACGCT